AAACACCACTGAAGAAAATTCTTTTTTCCTATATTGAGTTATGTGCAAACTCCAGTTGAACTCCTTTCCCTCCTTTCCAGTAATTTGGAAAAAATTGTATGGTCTCCATCAGAAAGGATATGCTCCTTTAGGTTTTTGTGTTAGAGGCAGGAGCCCAAGAGCTGATCCAATCCAGCTCAAAATTCCCTCTGAGCGCTGACAGCTCTTCAGCCAGGCTGTGTGAGAGGCTGACAGCATCTGCAGCTGACAGCTACCAACAGAGCAACAGAGTGATAGGCCTGGCACACATCCATCTGCTTTCATTTCCCCTGACCCTGATGACAGGGGTGCAGGGGGGAAAGCAAGGGAGGATCAACCCAGCACAAAGCTGGGCTGATGGGGTCTTCCTTCAGAGTGAGCCTGCAGCAATGTTCAAATCTGTATCCCAAGCAGCAAAATAAAATTCACCTTCAAAGGGCATGTTTCTGCCACCCATATGACTAGGGTTTTTTTTTTTCAGTTTTTCCTCTTTCCTTCTGGAAACCCATCTTCATGTGTCACCAACTAACATCCCATGTCCCAGTTTAATTCACTGGAATTGTTTTCCATGCTGACTAGGGTTCCTTCCCTACGGAGGTGTCGTGAAGAGCTAAGTCACAAGACAGCTTGCTACTTCAGCACTGACAACCAAGGCAAGCAATACAAGAAACCCTCTTCAGGACMTATCTGGGAAAGAGAGCATCCTATAGGCAATATGAGGGGGCACATGTGGATCAGGAAGCTTAAAGTTCAATATAAACACTACAATCAATCACTGCCCACTGCCTCCACTGCTCACTGATACAGGCAGAGGTTTTGTGCCCTTCATGCAAAGCACAGTAATTTTTCCTTATATACATGTGTGACTCTACACAAAACATAAGACTGTGGTAGTTTCTCTAACAGGAAGGAAACTGTACAATGGTGCTCTTCAAAAAGCRCACTGTTACAGGTATTTTGCTAGATAATTCTGTGGCTAAATTCCCTTTCAAAGATTTCCTCYTGTATTCTGAACACCCTAAACCTATGTAAGGCAGTAGGACACACAAAAACTGCCATTTTTTCCCTTGGAGAAATGGGTTTTTACTAAAAGTTTTAAAACATAATTCTAAAAGAAAGCAAAGTATCTTGCTCTGAAAAGTACACTTAACTTTTCCTTGATGAAAATAGGAGTGATTTGAAAATGGACATAATCTTCCCTCTTTGATCAACACAGTGAAGATGAAACACCAGAAATACTTATAATTCCTAAGGCAAATTTCTTCTACATCTGCTTTAGGCTATTTTGGCTGTAGCATTTATATACTCTAATTATTTTGTGCATTAAATACCATAAATATCCCTGTTGATTTTTGATCTATTTGTGGGTTCCAACATACAGCTGTATTTCATTTGGTTGAGAGGACATTCTGCAAGTAGGACTTGTACACCAATGCATTTCAGGGACAATCATTAATATTTATGGATAAACCAGTGATGCTAACAGCTTTTCCCTATGTTATAGTTCAATTTTATGTCTGTGTGCCTATACCCAAGCATACCTCTGTGGGAGAGAGGAAGAACATTTACTTATGATTTACTATGAAAGCAAGCGAATAATCATTTAGCTTCATATGGCAGGAACTTTGCAGTTCATTTGCAACACAAAAAATACCTTTGTAAGCAAAAAATCCTAGCAATTTCTTCAGAGACAACAGCTCTTTGTCCCTGACAATACACTAGATTAATAGAAGTATTTTTTCTCTCCTTATGAGTAAGCTCTCTCCCCAAATTAGCTTAACCTACTGTACATGTAGCACAACATTTAGTATTTCTCCCTTTTCTGCATTTTTTGGGGTTCTATCAAKAGCTGCCATCTGCAAAGGGTATTTTATTTGACTGGCATGCACAGAATACACTTGGTTAAGCACATCAGAAAGAGAAGAAGAGTTAGTACCACAGAGTAAGTTACACATCTCATAAGAAGGCAATCATGCAGGTTACATCCACCTACCTGTACTAGTGCGATATGTGCCTGTGTGTGCTGGTTGCAGAGGGTCCCCCTGACTCTGGCTGAGACTCCTCATAGGGGGCTTCTGATAAACTCTGTCTTCGTAAATAGGATCTATATGGTGTTCTGGAGACTGCAGTGCCCTTAACTCGGAGCCAAGGTGGCTGTGCTGGCTGCTGTAAGATGCCCGAGACCCAGCTGCAAACAGATTTATAAGAGACATTTAAGAGAGAGAAAACAAGTGACAAATACAGGATCTGAATATTACAATTTACTTGAAAGTAGCACTTAAAAAGAAAACCCCCAAAACAAAACTAAGTGTTTTCAACATGCAACAGAAACAGTAAACAAGAACAGCAACAGCTTCAGGTAATCACTTTAGCTGCATCATCCAGCTGCCTGCGTCTACACCAAAATCTTGTTTCTTCCAGGGAAGGGACATATTTTGGCAAGACAGATATCATAATTATCATTTCTTCTTAAATAGAGACCAAAAAA